TGATGACAATATAAGAAATGATCAGTAAAAAGAAGGATCCCACAGAGAGGAACCCACTGTTGGCTGTGACCATGAATTCCAGTTGGTAAGTGTCTATGCAAGCAAGTTTGATAAACCGAGGAAGGTCACAGTAGAAGCTGTCCAGCACGTTTGGTCCACAGAAAGGTAAGTTTACCACGAAAGCTATTTGAACTAGAGAATGTGTAAGGCCAACAACCCAGGCAGCCACTAAAAAGAAGAGGCACATTCTTGGACTCATAATGGTCAGATAGTGCAAAGGCTTACATATGGCCACATATCTGTCAAAGGCCATGGCTATGAGCAGCACCATCTCCACACCACTAACTGCATGCATGCAGAACATTTGAGTGATGCAACCTCTAAAGGAGATGACTTTCTGTTGTCTGAACAAGTCATAAATCATCTTGGGCGAGCTAACAGAAGAAACACCTAAGTCAATGAAGGAGAGGTTGGCCAGGAGAAAGTACATGGGAGAGTGTAAGTTTGAGTCAGAGGCCACCGTAAACACAATGAGGGAGTTTCCTGTAATGCTTGCCACATAAAACATGGAGGAGAACACAAACAGCAGTAGCTGGAAGTGCCAGGAGTTGGTGAGTCCCAGGAGCACAAACTCTGACACTACAGAGTGGTTGAATCTTTCCATTGATTGCTGTCAGTGCTACCTGAAGGAGGGAAGAGGAGAAAGTGAAAATTATACCAAAAGACTAGGAGAAAGTTCTAAATTATAAAAGTCTGTTTTTCTTTACCATTAAAACTAATGTAAAATCCAGTACATATAAAACAAGTGCTGAGCATCATTGATTATCAGAAAAGTGCAAATTAAAACTGTAGTGAGATATTGCCCCTACCTGTGTGAAATGCTTTTATCAAAAACACAAAAGATAGCAAGTTTGGGTTGAATTTAAAAGAGAGTGCCCTTGTAAGCTCTTGATGAGAATATAAATTAGTACATTCATTCAGGAAAACGTTATGAAGGCACCTCAAAAAAATGTTAAAATACAGACTGTTCTTATACCACAGTAATAGAGTGTTTGCTTACTTAGCATATGGAAGGTCCTGTTTTTAATCGAAACACTGTAAAAGATAAAGAGAAGAGCAGAAATTGGAGAAAAAAATAAAGGGAAATATTAAAATGGAAGGAGCAGGCTAGAGATATGGCTTAACTGAAAAGCTCCCTAACTGCATATGCATGAGGACCTATGCACAGATCCCAGCACTCAAGTATCATGGTAATTATTGTCACATGACCCTGAACCCTGCACACTTGGTTGCAATTACACCATACTCACATACACCACAATCTTGCATACACATACAGAAAACTTAAAGAATTAAAAATAGAAATATAAAACGATATAGTGATTCCAATTTGTAGAATATATATCAGAGGATATGACATTTCACTTTCATTGCAGCATTGTTCATAGTGATCAATATGTATAAATAATGTGTATTTGTATTCAATGATAGATGACGTGCATAACACATACACAAGTACACACACACACACACACACACACACACACACATTCTTTGCCCCTCATCAAACAAAAGGAATCCTAGCTTCTGCAATAACATGCACAAACCTAGAATTCATTGTGCTAACGGAAATTAAAGAGCAGAAAGTCAAATACTGAAAGATCTCGAAGTGGAGTCTAAATAAGCCACAGGCATATGAATCCCAGGATGACTACAGGAAAATGAGGTGGACTGGGAGGGGAATGAGAAGATATTTGTCAAAAGAGAAAAAGAAGCCATTAAACCCGATAAGCAGTTCCTGCAAATTTGGTGAAGAGCAAGGTGACTGTGGCTAACTATCAGTTCATGCTTGAAAACTACTAATAGTAGACCTTCAGTGTTCATGTGACAAATAAGAATTGATGGTGATTTTGATACTTATATGGATGTAATCATCTTGTAGCATTCATGTATATCAAACATCTCATTGCATATGATCAATATATACATTTCCTAGCTATACCTCCATAAAACTTGCTCATATATTTTAAAAATATGACTATTCAGGGAAGTTGGTGGAAGTCATGTGGTGCGATTATATTCTGTGGATATTTCTAAATTTAATAGCCTCTACTTTCTCCTCAGAGTAAAGAGGTATTTTCTTATTAGATTGAAGACCAGTCACCACTGAAACAATTTACCCCCAAATACTTCACATTTTTATTTCAAGACTAATATGTAGTCACGTGAAATATAAAAGAAAACCCACTCACTGTTTTTCAATCATTGCATACATGTCAGAAACTACAAACCTTATTCTATTATGTAAGTTCTTGCTTCTCACTCCAGAAAATATTTAACTTCAAGGTTTATCAAATGTGCCCAATAAACATGAAGTATACCTTTGCATAAATAACTGTAATTTACTGGCCCTTGAAATAACTGAACACAAGAACAAATACTCCAACATGGGTAGATTTATCCATATTTGCATGGTCTGAAGCAATGTTTCAGATATGGACAATGTTAGGAACATAAATTATTACAAAGTTTACAAACAGGTCAGACTTAGAGAATGAGTGTTTGTGAGGTGCCCAATCCTAAGTGACACACCTACAATGCAAACTCTTCACTTAAGGCTAAGGGAACACAGAATAAAGGGGAAGAGAAAATTAATGCATATCTCAACTTTCACCAGCAAAGCTTCCTCATTCAACAGATTGTGATTTACTCAGAAAGTGCCACCCTTAAGGAAAACCAGCTTTCTCTCTCCCAGCAGGCCTTAATATATATGACAGAGTACATGAAAGCTGTCAGGTGGGTATAAGAGAGGTGCAGGGAGGGGAGGGGGAAATATGATCAAAATACATTCTGTGAAACTTGAAAAACTTCAAGAAAAGAAGAAAGAGGATGTCTAGAGACTGTGGGGCAGTCTGGCACCTCAAGACATAACCATATCATTAAAAGCTAGTTTAAAGCCATTCTCATCAGTTTTAAGTTTAATCTGTGTCTTGTCATTATGAAATTAATATCCAAACTAGTATGATTATATATGGCAGTTCCCTTGTGACATTCTGACTTCCTAGATTACAGTGTTACATACCATTACCCTCAAGACCATGATATTTGCTTGGCTTGTTTGTATAAGCTATATTTATTTACTATATATCTGGTAGGTTATATGACAGCTACTTCTTTACTCAACCTATTTTTCCAACATTTTTTAAAAATGAACTAGGATGGGATTAAGAAAAGTGTCTTCTTTAATACCTCTATAATTTTAAAAATAAAAGTGGTAATTATAACTGATAAAGCAAATTTCTCTAGCTACTGGACATCACAAAACGTAGTGACAAAATTTACGTTCCTGCAGAGTATTTATCCTTGAAGCACTGGGCCTAACATGAATCAGGGCCCCAGAG